TCTCCGACTCAGCCCTCTTTTTGTTTTATTATCATTATTCTCATTTTTGGAGGGGGGCCGGGGGGCAGATTAGTCGCCGCCACCAACGTGAGATCTTTTTTCTCCTTGAAGGATTCCTGCTGATGTCTGCAGAGTCGGTTAGAGTAAAAACGGCGCATGCCTTCCTGGAGTCAGGATCCGTAAATTCTGACGTAGCCCGTGCATCTCAAAAATCCCTATAATAACGCCTAGGCATTTAAGTTGCTATGGTCATTCTGATCTCGAACCAAATGGAGAAACTACGGATTTTTTTTCCTTATTACGGTCGGATGGGATGAAGACCTTCCTGCCTGCCGAGAGCTGGGGACCTGTCTGTAGAGATACATAGATATGTTTATCAGTATGTCAGTGTGTGAGTATAAAGTGGTGGTTTCTTAGACTATCCGTGGTTTGACCTTGAACCTGTGCCAGTGAAACAGCAGAGTACTTTTATTTATGCATTTAATGGATTGAAGAAAAGGACCTTGTTTCTCTCTCTGCAGCTGCAGTAAGGGAGGGGAGTTGGATATACCTCGCCTAGTATCTCCTGGGTTGGCACCAGCATTATTGTTTATCGCTGTGCTCCGAAAGCCGAATCTTCTGATGGCTCCCCTCGGTGAAGTTGGGAACTATTTCGGTGTGCAGGATGCGGTACCATTTGGGAATGTGCCCGTGTTGCCGGTGGACAGCCCGGTTTTGTTAAGTGACCACCTGGGTCAGTCCGAAGCAGGGGGGCTTCCCAGGGGACCCGCAGTCACGGACTTGGATCATTTAAAGGGGATTCTCAGGCGGAGGCAGCTGTACTGCAGGACTGGATTCCACTTAGAAATCTTTCCCAATGGTACTATCCAGGGAACCAGGAAAGACCACAGCCGATTTGGTAGGTATACCGTTAACCCTTTAGTGTCCGTGCCGGCATGTTTGGATTGTAATTACTTACAAGGTGGTGGCGGGGGTGGTGTGGTGCGGGAAGGGGTCTCTCTCTCTCTCTGTGTCTTGTCTGTGTCTGTCTCTGTCTTGCTAGAACTAAAAAAAAAAAAAGCCTCCGGAATTGCAGCTCTGCCGCTAGCACTGATGCGAATCTACATTGAAAGGCTTTTTTTTTTTTAAGGGAGGTTACGATTTATAAATATAAAACAAGCCCCTAGTTCTTTCGCACCAGATACACGGGAAGATCAGGTTTAGGAAGTTTCTTTTGAATGGACTGATTCCACGAGTTTAAAGCTTTCATCATTAACTGAGAACTTAAAAATGCGTTTTCGCAAAGGCAGTGGTTATCATATGTGCCCAATGAAGTTCTGGCCCCTTCCTTTTCCCCTCGAGTGAGTATACTGCTTGAACTGTAAACTAAGCATATCGCTCATCCCCACCGTGAGGGTCTGGAACCCTTTAGGCAAAGGTTGCTGATGTTCTGTTGGGAAGAGGACTGAAGCCGTATTTTAGACTTCCGAGCTCGGGAAGGGGCAGAGACACGGGGGGGGGGGATGACTCGGGAAGGGGCAGGGCGCTCACCAGGGGCGTAAGTCCTTCCAGCCATCAAGTTATTCCCTGGCCCTGTAATTTCCATAGTGTGCAGCCCCGTGTGGGTGTCCTGGGTGGCCCTGGTGTGAGTGTGTGCGCTCGTGCAAAAGCGGCGAGCTACTTTTAAAGGGCATTCCGAGGATTTCATTTCCCGAGGAGGGTACCTGTGACTCAGCATTGAAGGCTGCAGACCCGAGGGCTGGTGACTGTCCCCTCAAATGCCAGCACACGTGTGCCTGCTGGGCCACCCTGAGCCCAAAAGCATGGAGTCAGCGAGCACAGTTTGGGGGTGGGGGGCGGACGTCGGGTTTTCCCCTTACTTGC